GCTATGGATGGATGGGATGGATGGATGGCATGGGATGGGAGGTGATGGATGCAGGCATGGATGGATGGATGATGGATGGATGGATGGATGGATGGATGGATGGATGGATAGGATGGTATGGATGCTGGTATTGGGATGGATGGATGTGGATGGATGTATGGATGGATGGATTGGTGATGGATGGGATGGATGATGGATGCGATGGATGCGATGGATGGAGAAATGGAATGGCATGGATGGCATGGAGTGAATGGGCATGATGGATGCGATGGATGGATGGATGAATGGATGGATGAATGTGATGGCATGGGTTTGGGTGGATGCGATCGATGGATGGCATGGATGATGGATGGATGGACATGGTATGGATGGATGGATGGATGATGGATGGATGGTATGGATGGATGGATGGTATGGTTATGAGTATGGGATGCGAATGGTTGGATGGTATGGATGGATGGGTGGCATGATTGATGGATGTATGGTATGGATGGATGGCATGGATGCGTGGGATGGCATGGATGGATGGCTCATGGCATGGATGGCATGGATGGTCATGGTATGGATGGATGGATGGATGGATGGTCATGGGTATGGATTGGATGGATGGATGGCATGGCATGGATGGATGGATGAATGGTGATGGATGGATGTCATGGATGGTATGGATGGATGGGATGGTATGGATGGATGGCATGGATGGGTATGGATGGTATGGATGATGGATGGATGGATGGATGGATGGATGGATGGATGGATGGATGGATGGATGGGTGGGTGAGAGCGAGAGTCAAGCGAGAATCAAGAGCGAGAGTATGATATAAACATCTATAACATACATTTCCCAAAATTATCATTAAGCGGTAATACTCTACAATCTACATGGTTGCGCATGTGCAAATCGTTTTTTCTGCAGCATCACCTAAAATACATCGGAATATTCGAATCGTTGCTTCTATTATTACTTGCGTTGTTATCTGTTGTTTCAGCTCGATAATATGGATCCCGGATTAATCGCTTTGATAATGGTAACGATAGCCATCTGTCGTGTTGAAGGAATAGGGGAAGCACTAAATTTGTTCAATCCACCTGCTGGAGACTGGAGTGTTATCGACATGACGTACGACTTTGCCGAAAACGAGACGATTTATTGGCCATCATCTGAGCCGTTTAGTCTTACTCTCGCCTAAAAGGGAACTATTCCAGAGAGCGGTGCTAACTACCAGACCAATAACTTCTGTGCGGTTGAGCACGGGGGAACCCATATCGACGCCCCTCTACACTTTTATCGCGGCGCCTGGGCAGTCCATGATATTCCTGTTGATAGAATGATCGGTGATGCCGTCGTTGTAGACGTTACCGCAAAGGTCTTTGGACATGTCGATTACCAAGCGACGGAACTTGATCTACGTGTGTGGGAGGAGAAACATGGTAGGATACCGGTCGGAAGTATTCTATTCTTGTTCACGGGATGGGGACGGTACTGGCCTGACAGGAAGAAATTTCTCGGCACGGAGTCAAGAGTACGGTCAAACTAAAACGTAACGTACAAAACCCATACAACACTATTCGAGAAGAATATTGTAGGGATAGATAACGTAGCGAATCTAGACCAACTTCCTCCAACAGGAGCGATGGTAATCGGTCTCCCCATGAAGATTCGCGGGGGTTCTGGCGCCCCGCTCCGTATCATTGGTCTGTTTAATTCCCTGCAAAATTATGCTGGTATTATTCGTGGCTAAAAGCAGCAATTGTTTTAAATAATTGTAATTAAAACAATTGTTATATCAACAGATTTAGATAACTAACCACGTGATATTTTATTCGTTATCACATGATCACGAATTCCCTGATTACTGGTCACGTGATAACTTGACACGTGATAACTTGAAACCTTTAGTCACGTGATAATATGTCACGTGATTATTGGTCACGTAATAAATACTCACGTGACAATGAGTCACTTGATAATTGGTCACGTGGTAAGCGCGAGAGATCGGCCATACTTTTAATAGTCTTTTTTGTAGTCTATAGAAGTTGATCTAGAGTAGTAGTACTAGTAGAATTTCCCTGCAGCTGCTTTATCAATAGTCGCGCCTGGTCTTTATTCCGTGTAGTGAAGATAGCTTGCTTGATTTGCATTCATCGAAAGAAGAGCATTTTCCTATGCGGCGGCGATGAAATGCGGAGACGTAATGAAGTAGCGGCACACTCCGATTTTCACCCGCAACTTATACGTGTAAATCTTCCGCCATATGTGTCTGCCGGCGCGTACGATGAGAAGTGAAGACGGTGGTATTAGTGTGTCCGCTATGATGCATGGCTGACTTATGAACACACACATTAACGCCGTGAAAGCATCGGATTCTGCTAGTGTGAGTCACACACACGCGGCGGGTGTTAGATCCTGGTGTCGTATATGCCAGACAGGCGATAATTAACTATCCCCCGCAGATAATAAACGCAGGTTATCGATGATGCGTTGGATGCAGGTGGCGTACGTGACGCGGCATTATACCTGACATTACCCACGGCATCGTTACCCAAACTGCATGCAGCGCCCCCCTTCGCACACTCAGGATTGAGCCCATGAGCGAGAGCGCCATCTGTCGTGGAGTTTGATCGTTACCTTGCAGATTTGCTCGTTTTCCCGTCTTGTCTGTCTGAGACAAGAGGCCCTAAAGCTAGATAGAGATAAAAGATAGAGATAGATAGATTGATAGATAGATAGATATAAAGATAGAGGCTTAGCCTGGCTGGCGGTTTGCCTCCGCTGTTACCATCCGCCGTCCTATCTCCCGAGGGCCAGGCTCTTCTAGAAGCTAGAAGGTAGAGGCACGCGGATTGTCGCGGCTTCTTCACGTTATCGACTTTATCTCCCAGGGTCACATAATTTCCTAAAAAAAGTTTTTGACGTTGATCTAACATCGTACATCTAACATTCCTAAAAGCTTTGGATTGGACATAGCGACGTACCGGAGCGGCATCGCGTTGTCATTTTATCTCCCAAAGACAACGCGTTTGCTAGACGTGATGCGGCCATGATGACGAGGCGCGCCGAGGATTGACACTTTGTGTCTTCCAATCACAGCCTACGCCGCACCAGTTTTTTATATGTTTAAGATGGGGACCCATTGGACCACCAAATCGCCGATCTCAGGAACTAGGGCATTCTGCTACGCTAGAACCGTTTCCTACGATAGAGTTTGCCACAAAGACGAAAATAACACGCTGTTTAGCGCACTGCGCTACGTCCTTCTGTCGCATTTTCGCATATCCGTAATCAGAATATGCCCCGCCTTCTTCGTTGATGGACATAAATGGGGCGTCACCGACGTGACCAGTTACTGTACCTACTGTCTTTCGCCAGCCTGTTTACTTTTCGTAAATACTGAAATGCCCGGCTGATGCATTTCGCATCGAAGTGGAAAATTTTTGGCATTTTCACTCGCTGTCGGAAGTGAACGAGTGCGTCATTCATTGAACATTGAAGTTTTTCTTCAAATTAAATAATTCCGAAAATCCCTAACCGCGCTACTCGATTGTTTCAGCCAATGAACGTAGCTGTATGTGTGACGTCTTGCCCGCTCGCTTTATGCTTGGCTTAGCGGGCCTCGAAATGGACGCTGAACGCTGTGGAGACGTGCGCCGGGCCTCGAATTTGGACGATTAAACGGTCTGTCATTATGAACCCCTGATCCTATCAACGCAGATTGTTCAGATCAGGTTAGTTACAAAACGGACTCCTATTTCTATCCCTGGTATAGTGTACAGTATTTTATGACATGGCACTGTGTGATATGTGTTTATTGAGAAATGCTGGATGTACAGGAAATAGCAAAAATCAAGTAAGTCAGGTTTAGGGAAAAATTATGAAGGTTGAAAAGCGTGAAAGTCGAGACTTACTCCAACCCGTCTTCGTCGACGCCGTGATCGTGTGTGATTCACGTACTGTGATTGGACTGCGCATGCGGATTTGGCGATCTTAAAAGTTGGTGCGGGTTTCCGATGAATGCCGAAGTTTCCTCGGGCACATAATTTTTTTAGAAAATTGCCTCCAAAAGTCACTTCACGATTGGAAAATTACGTTCCAACGTAGCGGAATGTATTCGGGACGTCCAGAAGTGGCCCCAGCTCGCGGTTTGCGTGAGCACACCGCTGCACACGTGGCACGGTTTCGGAGGAGATACGGAAAACGACACTTCGGCTCTTTCTACTATTATGTTATAGATGATTAACCCCTGATACCTTACATACTTGCATATATACAGTCTACAGGCAGTGCAGCGTGTATGGGTGTTATAATGTGTTTAATTAGGTGCACGCGCGTCGAATATAGGGTGAGTGGTGCAGCAGTGTAATACTAGATATA